ATGTTCAAACACTGTGAGTCAGTGCCAGGGTCCTCCTGAGGACAGCAGTTTGTCAAACCACCCTGATCCCTTATAGCATGAGTTAGGGATCTCTAGGTTCTGGAATTTGGAAAGGACAGACACCTTCAGGTTACATAGGAGGTATAACGAGAGGGCTGAAATATATTGGGGAAGTTCACATTGTAAATTTTTTGTTTTTTGTATTTCTTATAACAGTATTTGAAAAACAGGAATAAAAAACGCACCCAGATAAACGATTCCCTAGACTTCTTTTTTTGTATATAATACCGGGTGATCCTGGACTTCAGCAATGAGACAATAGATATCCATCTGTCTACCGCCTGTGAGAGAGCCTGTAAACAGCAGTCATTGTATTTTTATTAAGCACTGTCAAGTAGATTGCAGCTCCTGGTGATGGATGGATAGTGTTTCTCCAAAATATTCTGTATTCTGCTTGTCTTCAAGGGCCCGTATCATGGAAAAATGAATTTTTCTCATTTTTTTAAAATAAAGGAGTTTGAAGTGATATGTGAAGATTGTTAAAGTTTCAGAATGTTAACAGTGTACCAAAAACGGTCATCATTTAATTTTACATGACCATTTTCCAGCCTCTCTTTATCCCTTAAGATTAAACAGGCTGTTTTTGTTACTGTGCCTTTAAGACTGATATACGTGAGCTCCGACTGAGATGCATTGTGCTTCATTCAGAAAGCACTCAAAACTGAAACACTGCGTATAACTTCATTGTGAATGGGTGGAGCTAAACTGCTCTAGGGTGAATATGTGGAGATATGTAAATGAGTTGGTTCTTGTGACATCAGAAGCAATCAATTCAAAATGGGCTGTTTTTGCAGCTTAGCGTCCACATTTGGGCTGAAACATTATGTTTACATATTACTTCAAACTCCTTTATTTAAAAAAAGTGAGGGAAATATGTTTTCTATAATGTGCAGGCCCTTAAAATAGTTTATTTGTGTGATGTGTGAAGTTAAAAAAAAAAAGAAATTACTCATTTTTTGTAATCTTTTTGGCTGGTGTGTGTGGGGTTGATCTGTGTCCATTCTTGGATCAGAAAAGTGAGTGGGTGGCCTGAAACGTCCTCTGTCAGTTATTCAGCAAGACAATGAACCATTTTATTGCATCCTTTCGGATTCAGTATAATAACTTTTAGACAAAGTCTCTGTTTCAGTTCTGGTCGTGTAGCAGTGAGTGGTCTCTTTGCATTACTATCTAATGTGACTCCTGACCCCTTATTATAATATGTAATCTAGCTCTGTTCTCTAGTGCTTCCACATCGGCATTCACTCAGTCTGCGTCTGGCAGTCGGTTTACACTGTTGCTCCTTACAGGAAGGGCCTTCCATTGTGTTGACCATTTCCTGTTCCTGATATAGGTCTGTTTACTCACTGCACGTCTACCAGCCTGAGGGAGGATCTGAGCCCTCCTGCTCCCCTGCTTACGTTTTACCAGTCATTACTGACACATTCCAAACTCCCCCAATACTTCCACATTATTTCTCATCTGGAGTAACACATCTTTTTGAGAGAGTGACATGGAAAAGATCTTAATCTTATGAAATGGCTCGGATTTGCATTCACATGTACACTGACCATTAGGTACACCTCCTTGTATATATGCTGTTTGTCCATTTTATCAGGGTCCATTTACTATATAGGTGCACTTTGTAGTTCTACAATAACAGAACATAGTTGGATCAGACAGAGAAGTGCAGCTGGAGTTTTTAAACACTGCGTCCACTCACTGTCCACTCTATTAGACACTCCTACATTGTTGGTCCAGATGTAAAGTTAGAGACAATTGCTCATCTGCGCAGTGTGTGTTAGTCATCCTCTGGTCATTCATCAGTGGTCACAGGACGCTGCCCACAGCACGCTGTTGGCTGGATATTTTAGGTTGGTGGACTATTCTCAGTCCAGCAGTGACACTGAGGTGTTTAAAAACTCCAGCAGCACTGCTGTATCTGATCCACTCAGACCAGCACAACACACACTAACACACCACCACATCAGTGTCACTGCAGTGCTGAGAATGATTCACCACCCAAATAGTACCTGCTCTGTGGGGGTCCTGTGGGGGTCCTGACCATTGAAGAACAGGGTAAAAGGAGGCTAACAAAGTATGCAGAGAAACAGATGGACTACAGTCTGTAATCTTTACATTGTGATTACCTCGATTATTAAAAGAAAAAAGAAAAAAATGCATAGCTACAGTAACAGTAGCCTTTAGGCCACTTCACATGGTTAAGCTGTTTAGCTGTTTTATGACGTGTGATGTTACCTGTAGCCAAAAACTACCAAACCAGCAAAGTCAGCTTTCAAGTTACTGGCCAGAAAGCATGTTTATGTTCAGCTTCAGCAGGTGGTACCCTGTAATATAATATGCTGTTTTGAAACAGATTACTGGAGAAAGATGCAGCAGATATAGATTAAGAGGAACCTCGGTATGTCAGAGTAAGCAGCGACCTGCAGTCTGTATTTAAGCTCTTTTTTGTGCACTTTTTTGAAAGTGGCACCCCTAAAAACCCATGATAGTTTTGTCAGTTGGTGATGGCTAGGGGGCTCAATCACACAGTGGTATATTATACATGATATTATTATACCTTCACCAGGAGCAAAACAAAGGAGTTAATTAGCTGTGCACTAGTGCTGCAGACATTTAAGCAAACTTTTTAATTTTATGGTAATAAACTTATAACTGTCCATTATTTCTTTTAAAAATGACAGTTTTATTGATGTTCATTTTTTTTATAAAGTTAATGTTGCTTCCAAAATTGTAGTTTGGCTTGTAGTGTATACATTACTACCCTAACCCTGTGTTCATACTCATTTAAGAGTAATGAAAAAACTCATACACTTAAAAGGGAATTCCATCTATTGCTCAACAAAGTGAGTCAGAGTGGTTTGGTGTGAAATGATTCACTGTAGAGAAACTTATCAGCAGAGGTACAGACAAAAGTTGCAAGTAACAAAGAGAGGTCTCAAGTCTTTACTCAGTCCAAGTCAGACAGTCGTCGAGTCCTGAGTCAGTACAGGCGAGTCTCAAGTTGAGTCCAGTCAACAGTCCTAATCTTCTAAACAAGTCAGTCTGCATTCTTCAGCTAATTTTAGGCCAAAACACTGAATAATGCTAACAGTACTATAACCTTCTGTTGACAGCACATTAGCAGTGTATGGCTGTTTATTTATTATTTTCTGTGGTACACAGATAGCCCATGACAGGCATACTGGTATACGCAAAGAGTAGTGCAACTTCACATGAAAAATAATTTTAAAAGTCCTACTGAACTTAGTTACTTTATATTTGAAGATAATTTTTGATGATTTTTGGGAACATAGAGTTCACAAGATTAAAATAAAAACTATCTCAGCCAACTAAAAACAACCACTAGTTTGAATTTAGACAACAACAGAAACCAAAACGACCGAGCTGAACAAAGTTGGCAGAAAAGACAGCAAAATGATGGTGAATGTACGAAGCTGAAGTTGAGTTTTTTTGTCAGCTTCTTTTTCGAATTTTCCGTTCCACCTTAAATGGTGCAGCAGCTATGTTCCTGTGCCTCACTGCTGCACCATTTAAGGTTGTAATGTGTTTTTTATTTGGTTCGGTTGGTTTCCCACTGCAACCGCTAATGTGTGCCAAAGTGTACATGTGGCTGTTTGTTTATTGGTCAAACGTTTTGCAGGGATGCAAGTGCTCTGTTGCTGTCACATTCACCACCATGAATATAGAAAAACAGAAAATAGAGGTGCTTATTGTCTACGTGAATCACAGCCAAAGCAATAATAATAAACCTTACTTCTATATCTGCTTCTTTATGGATGGTTTACCAATTTGAAATTAACCAAACAGGTTGCTGATGCTTGACCAAAAATATGTACCATATGATATCTGTGCTGAAATAAAATGCGCTTCTTAACTATAATGTTACTCCTTTCTGAGGTTATTAACAGCAGCTTGTGCTCTAAGAACAGTATGAGTATCTGAAAAGAGTAAAATGTTAAAAAGGCAGACAGTACAGTGCAGATGTGTACAGAAAAAAGCACATTCTGGTGATGAATTCTCTTGTTTGGTGTGGATCATTGCAAAAATGCATTCCCGCCAGCAGCAAACTAAAGCAGGGCTGAGACCTACAATTTTGTCGGACAATGATTCTGTGTGGACACGAGTATAGGTGGAGTGTTCACACAGCAAAACAGGCCGAACTAAAAAAAGAGGTTTGATATTTCCGCACCACAGGTGTGCTGTGCAAGCGCCATTGCTGAGTGTGATAGCAATAAGAAATATTCACACTGACATTTAGTAAATTCACATACTGTAGTACCAAACTGTGGCCTAGTGCATTAATTTGTGTATCGTAGAAAAAGTTTTTTACTGGATTAGTGAGCCGCGGCCTCTCTGGCTGATTGTGAAATCTGGAAGGCTTTACTGTTTGAGAAATCCTCGGCCTCCCAGCTGAAATGGAGACTCTGATTGGTCCAGTTAATTTGTTTGGTTTCATGTCTATAGGTCAGCGCTCCGTGCAGTTTAGGGAGAGCGGTGATTTAGTTTTTTGTGTAAGCGTCCTGAACTCAGTCAAAAAGTGGTGGGTCGTCGCCCCAATACTTTGAAAAGTGCTGGGTCAAATGCCAGCCTGTACCCAGGTTTCTGGCGGCCCTTGTGAGGGAGCTTTTAGAGGCGTTAAAAGCATCAGACGTCTGGTTCCTATCACCTGTCTGGTTTCTCTAGAACAAAGCATTTCACATCAAACCACTCTGAATAACTGTTTGCATCTTAACAGTTCAATTATGCAGAAACTTAAAAAAAGTGGAATGGTTTCCCTTTAATAATAAACGTTCAATTTAATTCTGAAGAATATAGATTTTCTTTTTTGGCTTTGACAATTAACCTTATTATTATTATTATTATTGAGCTTTTATTGACAACAGAAAATCTGTTTTACTAGTTTAAATTTGATATGTATTGTTTCTGTCTGCGTCCAGAAGCTGACTTACGCATTGGAGAGCTGCAGTGGGGGGACAGTGGAGTTTACCTGTGTAAGGTGGTGATCGCAGATGACCTGGAAGGCCAAAACGAAGCTCAAGTGGAGCTCCTGGTTCTAGGTGAGCAACATTACGCAGAAACAGTCGGCCACCATGTACAGGAAATAGAGCCTCTCAGGCCTGAAAACGAATTTGCTAACACAGGAAGGGAAAGCATGCCAAGTATGTGCTTAGGATGCAAACTTTGGCTGTAGTTACAATTTCCTCTTCATCAGTGACAAAAAAGATGAAAACAATCAACAGCAAGTTTGGGAAGACATGTAGTGTTGAAATCTTCTATAGCTCGAATATAGCTGAAAAAAGTGATGTATTAGATTCAAATATGAATGTAATTTCTACATGAATAAAATGCATTACAACACAGTTTGTCTTTCAGTTTACTTAATTTTAGCAATATTTGTGATTGATTTTATTCATGTGGAAATTACACATTTCAAATCTACACATTTCAATAATCCAATGAATTATTTTGACTGTTAGCTAGTCCTTCAGTTTGGGGAGTAAATGTCAAAACTTCACCAGGGTATATTTTGGTTTGTAAATTTACATGACTAAATCGTAAGGCAAATTATTCAGTAACTGCATGAAATAAATGTAAATTTTTATTTTATTTATTTATTTATTTTTTGTTTTTGAGTTCACCTCAAATTAACAGAACATGTATTTTATGATCATACACATATTGCTATATGCTTACAATTTAGTGCTGAAAGCCAAAAACCTTAGACGCTCTTTGTATTTTTTAATAAAAATAATTTTTACAGAGCAGATCACTGAGGAGACGCCATCTGTTTATGGTTTATAGCCCAGATTTGTGGAAAAATGGGTCAACTTTCAGTAGACAAAAAAAATTGTGAGTTCAGCTTCTTTTATTATAAGGGTTTAAAATGACATTACCCATCTATTTGACTGGAAAGAAGACAGTTACAGCTCTCATATGACACCCACCTTTTGAATGTAGCTTATGAAATATGAAAGTTATGAAGAATATGACATGCATTTTGGAACCACCGGTGGTCTCAAGGAGTTGAAAAAGTAAAAAAAAAAAAAACACCTCTACGTTAATGCTAATTTTTGATAGCGCCCCTACAGGATTCCAGTAGTGTGTTAGTGCTAAGCTACCTGCGATTCCCATTAACCTTATTTGATGGACATTCAAAGCTTAGAAAAGACAGCGTAACTTAACAATGAAATAATTGTAGTACTACAATACTTGCAAAGTTCAAATACAACTGCTTTGATGATTAAATATTAAATGATTAATGATATTAAGTACATTTTTTTCCACAATTTTTTTTTCCAATTTATTTTTTTATTTCACAGAAACCTTTAGGCTTTCTCTGAAGGCATAGAATGCACTGAGGCTTCCCTACTGACTTTTTTCAATGTGGTTACAATGTTGGTCCTCTGTTTTCACTGTATTCGTGATTTCAGAGTAGGCTTTGAAGTTCGACAGCAATAACAGATTCTGTGTTAGGAAACAAATAGACAGAGCATTTGAGAAGACACCTCTTTAGCTTCTCATCCTTATGGGATTTTCTCACATCAACTGACTTTACAAAGAGGCCCATTATCATGTTGTATTCCCCTCACACAGTTTCTGTCTGGCCATTACACAACAGCTGTAGGCAGGAGGAGGGTCGAGAGGCACCTCTGTCTTTCACAGCCCCAGTGAATTATGGGAGCAGCTTCACAAAGGTCTCACTGGGAGACCACTGTGCTACGCATCTAAAGACTCAACAGAGTGATTTATTTCAGAACTTCATAGCCACTAATCTTTTGATGTGAACTGTACTTTATGCTTTTGTTTCGTGGCTGTGGAAGGTTTCAGTCATACTGGTCAGTCAGTTGTGCAAGTCAAGGCTGTTGGATTTCCAACACAACCTACTTCAAACAGGCAATAGTTTGTATGAATCTTTTTGCATTAGTTTAAACTGCTTTGTTTTCTAAGTAAAAAAACACTCATAGAGAATCAGTTCTATTATATAGTTCATTGGTTTGCACTAGGGCTGCACTATATGGACATAAAATCAGATAAAGCTGATGAATATTTTGATGACAATATAAGAAGAGAGAAGTATATTAAAATAATGTGCCTCTGACTGGACATGCAACAAGTCCAGACTCTGATATTGTGTGTTATTAAAGAGAAATCTAAGTAACCTGCCTGCATTAATAACAAAAAATACAACATTGCAGAAGCCCAATTCATTTCAGTAGTAATTCATACAAAATACTACTGAAATACTAATTACTACTTACATCAAAAGTGAAAGCACATTTTTGTGTGCTGTTGAACTGTATGAAAAACAGCATTCCCTGACCAGCCTTTTCTATGTAGGCCTACAAAAACTATATACAGTGTGTTGTTTGGTGCATGGTCACGTTAGGCATTGGTTCTGCTGATTGTTAGCCAAGTGACTACCTCTTTCCTGCCGGTGTAATTTGTACACATCATTCGGAAGGGAACTCAGTTGTGTCTTGTTGAGTTATACTGATTTTATGGATTTTAACTACACCCATAGGGCCCGAGCAGCTTAAAGCGCCCCTGAAGACGCCGTGTCTGGGTTCACTCATCCTGCTGCACACCTCACTTCAAGTTATCTGCATCTTTTTAAAATAAAATCACCAGAAACCTGCAGCAGTGTATCTCAGTGTGTAAAGTTAAATGTTAGCTAATTGTAGCCTGTTTCTTCTTATCAGGCTATGGTTGTGTGTCAGCTGTGTTCTGATTAGCACTTGAAAACGAGCTGCGAGATTCCATTGAAACAGACAATTCAACCTACATATTCAGCAGTGGAATGAGGAGTGAGACATGTCAGCTTTCCTGACTGCAACATATAGAAAATGGCCAGAAAAATACATGTTACAATATTACAAGTAATAGTAATATATTCTTGAGGCTTCTCTGTTTAGTTGGTCATGGGTACTCAGCAGACACAGCACCCACTGAAGCTCCACTAGCGTTAAAAGCATTTTTACAGTCAAGTAATTAAGGATAGATTAGTTTTTGTCTTTGTAATTGGCTCTCTAGCAGAATGGTTAAGTCACTTGTGATACATTTGGGAGACTGGTATACAGGTGCTTCTATTTACAAAATGTCTAGAATATTTACTACAGTGTGAAAAAGACTACTACATACTACTATGTAGTAGTCTAGTGTTCCTAGTACTGAGGCAGATTGTGTTGAATTAACTAAAATTAGCATTTTAACCTGGAATTCCTCTTTGTTGAAAAAACAAATAAAATGTCACAAAAGCTAAAATATTTTAGATTGGATTTTTACAGTGTATCGTGACAGATATGGCCAAGATCTGAATGTAAATGCTCCCCCACAGTCCTGTTAATCTCTGTTTAAAACATAAATGATCATCATGTAGCTCATGTCAGCATTGGCAATGTTTGCCAGAAATGGTGCAGATCTGTTTTGAGACATGTGGGCCATATGAGAATTTTAACATGTGGGCCACTTATTTTGTTAACCCCTTAAACTGTAAGGGTGTGTGTGTGCGCCCACTCTCATAACTTCATAACTCACAAATAAGTTTCATAGAAGTTACTGAATAATTTCTTCTAGTTACTGTAGAATAGTCTTAAGGTTAAAAGAATGCTCCAGCATATTTCAACATAATCTGCCACTTCTGTGTCGTATATTGCCACATTCATTACAACACTTTTCCCAATTTCCTAATTCCCAAGTGTGGTATTTAACTGTGTTCAACATAAGCAGAGATTAAGATTAAGTTAAACATGATAGAAATTAAGTTTAAAATGCTGAAATTTTACTTTATAACGGAATAATAAGTTTAGGGTTTGAGCGTTTGAAGTAGAACCCAGATTTACCTCAATGTCAACCATTACTTACTTAAACTGATAACCCTTTTAACAGTGAAGATGTTCTTTTGTGACTACTTTAAAGCAGAAGTGGTTCTTCAGTGTGGCGCTAACACAAAGCTGAAGAGTTAGATATGATATAAAAAGCAGATTTTTTTGTAGTTTGTTCATTCCATAGCCTTCACATTCTCAGCTTAGCTCTTGATGCAAGGTGAAGTTGTAGAGGCTTCTTTGTGTGGACTTGCCTAAGAAAAGGCTTGTACTGTATGACACTCGCAGTGAGCACATAGCTTGTCAGTCTATACCAGTGGCTTTTTGTTTGTCAGCTGTATCTAAATAGCATTTTCAGAGCACAGTTTGAGCACTTTCTCTTGGAAGGCTGCACATTTACTGTGCTGAATGGAGTTGGTGTAATATGCTCCTGGAGAATGATAATGGCAGGTTTGTCATCTTCAGCTTAAATCATCGGGTCTAATAGGCAGGCGTGTTTTGTATACAGACGGGTCTAAATATGGCCGTCACTTCATGCTGTCACAAAGGCTTTGAGGCGATGTCATACACGTGACGACGCATGTTGATTGGCTGCCAAATGCCCTCATAGCTGAGCATCTCCCACTTGTGGAGGTGCTCCCATGGCAACAGAAGGGCTTTCTGTGTCCAGCAGTGGAGGATGACGTGAAGGCCCATTGTACAAATGTGAATGAGAGCACAATAAACTGGAAAAGAAAGTCATGGTTATTTCTTTTTTTTTAAGTTCCGTTATTGAATTTTGAATTTTTATGGCATACAGAATATTTAGAGTTTTGTGTTCCCAGTTACGGTTTTATCAGATGTTTGTGTAAAGATATATATGCACATAGGTGACAAATTAAAGGCAAAACAACAAAGTGTCTTAGCAGTGTGTTGGGCTACTACGAGCTGTCAGACCAACTTCAGTGCACCTTGACATAGACTTTAAGTCTCTGGAGCTGCACTAGAAGAATAAAACTAATGAGAATGCTGTGTTAAACATTGGTGATTTTACTTCATTTTCATACTCAAACTATTTGGTGACCCCTTGTGCCCTGTGGATGGGCGCTGAAAGAGACTCCTCCCATCAGAATAGTAATGTTTCATCATAGGATAGTCAGAATAACTTGATTTGCAGTTACCCTTCCTTCTAAGGGGACTAGTGGACCCACACCTTGCCAGCAAAATGCCCCCCCACAGCACCAGACCTCCTTCAC